TTCCCTTAACTGACTACAAGGAAGCTTAGAATAACTAGCTCGGCTGTAGAAATCTACCTTTAAGGCATCTACTTCTATGTCTACAGTGAGATGGGATAAATCCATCCAGTATGTGACGTTTCTTCAGTCTCAGACAGTTTGATAAGTTCCTGTTGTTCTCGCTAACAAGAAGTTGTCATGCAAAAGCAGCACAATGAAAACTGAACTTTTTAGGAATGTGTTACAAAATGTTAGCAATTGAAAGAGATGATGGATAGGAAATTCTATCAGTATGGCTTTCTAGAGGGTCTGTCCCTATGCTGTTTAGACAGATGACCATACATTTCAGAGATTTATTTTTTCACAGTTCACTGCCACTTTCACTGCATAATGCAAATGAGACTTGTATGTCTTTGGTCTAATACGTATTTTTTCTCATTATCACTATTTTATTATTCATTCATTTATTCATTCACAGGAGGAGCTATCTCCAACATGTATAGCATAATGGCTGCACGATACAAGTATTTCCCTGAAGTCAAAACCAAAGGCATGGCTGCAGTCCCTAAACTGGTTCTTTTTACCTCGGAACATGTGAGCTTAATACACTGCTAATTTATTGATGTATGTTGTGAAGATGCTTCATCATTAAAAAACCCACTCCATTAAATGTGCCTATGTTTCGCTGCAGAGTCACTACTCAATAAAGAAAGCTGGAGCTGCACTTGGATTTGGAACAGACAATGTGATTTTGATAAAATGCAATGAAAGGTAGGATGAATGCTAAGGTTTTGATATATTAAATGTGTTCACCTGTTAAATTTGTTGTATTGTGCTTAAGGACTGGTTCAGTACAGTGTGTCAAGTTGCTAATGGCCTGTTGAGAAAATCCTATTAAATTATTTCAGCTGTAGATAGTATTTACATATGCACTCTTTAATTTTCTTTGTCTTTCTGTTTCTACAATAATTACAGAGGCAAAATAATACCCGCTGATTTGGAGGCCAAAATTTTGGAAGCAAAGCAAAAGGTTTGTGTTTTTAAAAATTAGCGCTTAAATGCTTGGCTTAGTAAAATTACCTCTTCCTTTGAAGGCTGAGGGTTAACATTAAAGGAGAACATTATAATGATATGAATGTTATAATAATATTTTCAGCTGCTTAATTATACATTCATGTGTTTTTTAGGGAATTATCTATATGTCTTGCTAAGGTTTCCTTTAACTGTTTAAAAAGAAAGTATTTTTAACGCCTGAACCACATCTGTATTTTATGACTTTTAAAAATAACTTTCTGTCTGGAAATATATGGGAAAAAAGTATGAAAACATGAAACTAAACCTACTTTTATCTAAACTTTAAAGTATAGCCAAAACCATCAAAAATTCTATTGAAGTACTAAAAATTCCCATAGATTTCAAGTGTGAGGCTGCGGGGTTAGTAAATATAGCCAGTAAGTTTAATTTTTTGAGGCATTCATTGTTATTTCTTGAATCAATGCAATGAAAAATCCATGAATTTTGTATAAAACCACTAAAGTTAGAGCAATCAAGATTATTTTTTTATTTCTTAACTTCCTTGCATTTGGGCTCTCTATGAAATTGCAGTTCACATTTATTTCATCTAATTTGAAATTGTCTCACTTTGATAGTTCTGCATTTATTGCTTTTGTTTTAGATTGCTTTGTTCTGCTTTGTCCTGTTTATTAGTAGATAAAGACTAAAGGAATAACTTCAAGCCTTCAAATCACCACTTACAAATCACATTTAATTAATTTTCCTTTATACTGCTGTAGAAATCTCTACTTAACTATTGCTAGTCTTCTGCTAGAACGTTTGAATCTCCTTACTTAAAGAGATTACACAAAATAATATTCTTTACCTTCTGACTAGTTAATTTTGTGAAGTTACAGTACAATAAAACCAGAGTTTGGTCCTATTGTGTACAATTTGTTAGTTTCTACTGTTGCTTATATGTACCTTTCACACGGGAAGAAAAACATTTTTAGGCTGGAAAATGGGATAACAACATTTCTAAAATTGTTTTCACATGTATTTTTTTTCTGAAAGATGTTGGATTTTGTATTTAATATTTTTATTTTTATTGTAGGGATACATTCCTCTTTTTGTAAATGCAACTGCAGGCACAACAGTATATGGAGCCTTTGATCCAATACAAGAGATTGCAGATATATGTGAAAAATATAACCTCTGGCTCCACGTAGATGTAAGTAACTAAATGAAGTGCTATTATTCAGGCAAAAGAGGATTTTGTTTACACATATTTTGTCTTGAATTAAAATATTTATTAGTAGATCCTGAGTCAATTAAAATATGTTAGGTTTTTCCAAAACAATAAGTATTCTCTCTTTTTTTCTGTCTTTTCCAGGCTGCCTGGGGAGGTGGACTCTTAATGTCCCGAAAGCATCGTCATAAATTGAATGGAATAGAAAGGTACTAAACAGTGCTTATTTGTAATACTGTTATTAAAGTACTTTCATAAGGTACGTGATACTTCACAAATTCATGAAAAGATGAATCTGCTGCATTAAGGTGTTTAAACACTAAATTAAACAAAAGACAGACAGGAAAGGTTCACATTAGGAAGACTGAAACAGTACTACAGAAGAGAACAGTGATGTACAGCTGAGTGAAAGGTAAGTTTTCAGCAGATTTGAAGGAGGACAGGGATATTGCTTAGCAAAAAAGAAGGGACATTGTTCAATGCAAAGCCTTGAAGGGATCATAAGTCTGGGAATGGATGAAGGAGGATTTGAGGAAAAACCAAAGTGTGAGAGCTAGACAATCACTGAAATGTAGGGCTATGAGAACAGCAGTGAGAAATGAGGAATCCAGAGAAGGTGTTTGAGCATGAATACCTATGATGGGAAGTCATGACATGGTGGGAATTTGTAGAGATTCTCTCCTGAAAGATGTTTACAGTTATTTCCAGAAAATAAAGAGTATATGTTATGCCTGAAAATGTGTTCTGTAAATGAAAGTTTATAAATGTGTATATATATGCTTGCTTTTATATTGCTTATACACACACACACACACACACAAATATATGTGTATACAACAAGAGAGGAACACATGGTAGAGACTGAATTAGCAGCAATTTTTAGGGGCAAATTTCAGTACCTATAAGACTGGAAAGGACTATGATAGCACAGAGCTGGTACAGTTCTACTGTGCCAGGCAGAAGACTGAGGGAACTTACAGGGAGGCCAGAAAGAGTCACAGACACTTACCACATCGCAGGGCACAGGGGCCTATGAGTTGGTGCCAGGTGGGGAATTACATGAAAGAAGCAGGAAGCTCTTGTGGAGGCCAGAGTGAAGCCTGCAGAAAAGAGCGTGCGTGCCCCCGAGCACATAACCCAGGTTGCCAGGATGCCCACTGAGACCAGAAACCAGCCTTTATTAAATAATTAATTGAACCAAATTTAAAAAGGCAAAGCATTTGTGTTGGAAGTGATAACAGAGTGTGACCCTCCCCCCAGGCCCCACAATTCAGGCTCAGGAGGAGTCCCATATGTAGTCTTTGTCACAGTTGTTCCCATATCCAGCGATGACAAGGCTGTAGTCTGTAGAAGATGCTATGTTTATAACGCCATGGGTGTGTTTGTGTCTAGATTTCCTCTGAAATTGCTCTATCATAGAAGACTGCCTGTCTGAATAAAAATCAGAAAAGCAATGAAGAACCAGAAATGTAAGATCTTTCCCATCATTGCAGATATCAGCTTCTGGGGAAGCAAAAAAGATTTGAAACAAGCTCTACCGGTGTACTCTCAAATTAGCACCAAATTGCTTCCTTGAGTCAACGATGCTGAATGTGGGCCCTGTGTAAGGGTATAAAATGAGAACAGTGAGAAATGCTCTTTCTTAGGGAAAACAGACTTTGCTAGTGGTGGGCATCTCATACAGTAAATGAAGAACGAGTGCAAGATAAAGAACGCTCTACCGAAGGACTGGTAAGAAAACAGTGTGGACCCTTCTGTCTCAGGGACAGCTGTGTGTGTTGTGGCAGGAGCACTCTGAAGTAGCAGAATCATACCGACCTCTGCTCAGTCCAGTTTGCTGGTCACTCATATTATGGCAATGTGTCTTATGTGAGGTTAGCATTGTAAAGCAATTCCCTTAAGCTGCACAGGTTTGGTCACTGTAGTTTGACACACCTCTTTTGACTTGAGGTCAACCCAGAGGTGCTAATTAAGACCGTAATCTTATGCAAATACAGAAAGACACAGGCCACAAAGTGTTATATTATTTCTTTTCTAGTCAGCTGTACGGATCTTCAGATATGGGATGGGGCCCCCGTGTACCGTGTAATTGCCTGTCACAGGCCCCAGCTGGGGTCTATTGCTAACGCTCAGGCCTGACTTGGCCTGCCCAGAGACTTGGGCAGGTAAGGACTGGCATGCTGCCACGGTACAGAGATGGGATTGCCTCTGGTAGGATAGCCTCCGGCTGGCTGGCTGTGCGGGACAGGCAGTGACATCTTCATGTTAAAATAAACCTAATGCTCCTTGCAAATACAACTTGAAATTGTCTTTGTTTGGAACCTGAAAGTTATATAAACATGCTAAGCTGAAACCATGGTGTTCTCAAAAGGAAATGAGCTGTTACCTAAATTTCTGTTTCTTGACTACTCCATCTGAGCTATTAGCAAAGTTTTTTAAAAGATAATTGCCTCCTAAGCCTGAGCTAGATACCTGTTGGTTTGCACTACCTTAACAGGAGATTTCAGAGGGATGGTGAGCTCCCCAGGTACAGCACAGACTGCGCTGTTCTTTTGGCTGAGGAGTGCTACAGTCTAACCTGGTGCAGACAGAGGTTGGAATTGTATCTGCAATCCGTATGGAATTAGTGGTCCTAGACTGGGGTGAAGGAGTCATTGTGTTGCTCAAAACAGAGGAACTGTGGTTGTGTCTGTGTCCTCTGAGAGCAGGGTGTAGAAGAGGAGGAAATACCTTTGAATTTTGTTTCAGCCACATTGTAAGAACACATGCATAGTCTGTGAAATATGATTATACAGTTTCCTTCTCTGGAACACACAGTGAATCAAGTGGACATTTGGTAATTAATTACTTAGGGTGAAGAGGTCAATGGATGTGCAGTGTCGGCACATTTATTTTAGTGTCATCATTAAACTGTCTAAGTATGTTAAAAATGCAGAACATGTCATCTGTTTGGCTAGTAAATTAGGTGTTCTTGTGCATCCACCTGTGTTTACACATAAAAAGTTTTAAGCTTTACACACAGAACGGTAGGATTATGATGCAAAGTTTTATAGCCTTTTAATAGTCCATGGGCTTGACAAGCTAGTACGGAAAAGGCCTCTTGTGGCTCTAACTGGAAAAGCAGATAGGCACACAGAGTATCTTTTCCTTAGCTTTCTACTTTTCCAGCAGCTGTTCAGTAAAGAACTGTATTCTCCCAGAATCCATATTATTCCCTAAATTCTCTGATACCCCCCTGCCCCGATCAGTACCCTGAATTGATACAACCTATCAAACTGGTTTTGTTAGTTTTATTAGTGCCATTTCTAGAAGTGGAGTCTTCTGCGGATGAAGTTACGGTATCAGCTAATCAGCATAGTCTGACACTAATTAGCTGGTATTAGTAATAATATAAACTAATCAGAAGTCTGACATTGCAATGTTAACGCACAAAAAATACCTTTCCTGGAGAGTATAGCTGGGAAAGAAGACACTTGAGACAGTAATAATCTCCATAGTGAAATCATCATGGTCAAAACTCCATACATTTCCAGCCGAAAGTGGAAAACAAAGGTGACTGCTTCAGGTTAAGCTTTTTGTTTCAGACCTATCTGAATGTGTCATTTTTTTTACAGAGCCAACTCAGTCACGTGGAATCCACACAAGATGATGGGAGTGTTGTTACAATGTTCTGCCATTCTTGTCCGGGAGAAGGTCTGCCTTATATTTAATAATTAAGCAGTTAAAAAAAAAAAAAAAGTTAATATTAAGCCCTACTTTTTAGAGGGTAGTGCAAAATCCATTTAATTTCAAAACTTCTTTTGGAAGGAATAATTGTGTGGATCTACATTGTGTTTAGGAAGTTGTTTTGCATTTTCTGGTTTTTGGGGTTGTTTGGGTTTTTTAAAGCTGTTTTGTTAAAGCTGTAGACAATATGGGTCAGATCTTTAGCTGTTGAATCTTTCCATATTCTAATAACAACACCAGAGCCATGCTAATATACTTCATTTAAGCATCTGCCCCGTTGTTTCTATGATATATTGAATGTACTCCCTTGGTCTTAGTAATTGGTCACAGTCTAAACTGCTTAAATAAAAAGAAACTTTTTTACCTTACACAGTGGTTTAAAAGTTTCTCAATTCTGTTGAAAAGAAAACATGCTGCTTTTATTATGACCCCATATATAATTTTAGGGCCGCCTTCTAGATTCTTCACTGTCGTTGATGAAAGCAAGACCAGTGTCTTCTTTTAAGCAACATGTATTTTCCTTAGATGATAAAAAAAAAAGTCCTGTTGTCTGTGGATGGGACTACTGTCACCTACTAATTTCTGGCATGTCAATTCCTACTAGAAGAGGTTAATTGAAGAAGGGGTCCCTGTGCATAGAACTGGGATGAAGGAGTTGCGGGTTCCAGCCCTAGGTCTGCCATTGCTCTTCCAGGTGACCCATCTCTAAACTGAAGACCGCAGCATTTATTTCCCTTTATAAAGCACTTTGGCATCTATTGGAGGGAAGCATTAGCCATTGTTTAGTGGCATGCATGGTTATTGTGCTAACTGTTGCAGGATTTCAGCAAAATTTTTTGTTCTCTATATGAGAACTTCAGTAGGTGTTTATGTATTTATCAGATACACCAGTGTCTTCGAGCTTCTTCAAAGAACCACTAATAAACTCTAAAGCAGATGCAAACCGTTTTAGAAATGTCACATGTGTAAGACTTCTGTGTAACATACAGGAATTTGCTCCTCTGTGTTTCCTTCAAAGATGTTTACCAGTAATCCGTAGGTTTCTATTGGTCTGTGGACCATATTTATTGGTAAGCAAAAAATGTCTAGTTTAGGTAATTTTTACTTGTATTTATTACTAATGTTAAGTGTCATAAAGCTGGACAATATATAAAGTTGAATCCTTCAGTTACTTTTTTTTCCTTCATTTTCTATAGCTATCTGCTGCACTGAGAGACCACAGCCTTATTCTAGTGTGTAATTTAACACATTAAAAATTTAAGTCTTAAGAACATAGCCTTACAAAGAAAAGTGGACAAAGTTAGTATCAAAAGCTAAGAATCCAAATTAATCTGAGAATGTTTTTTTCAAGTGTGAGGATGTGGGTGTGTAAAACCATGTGACTACTCAGGGATTTCTAAGAGAACCAACTTAGGTTATAAAATTATTTTCGTAGCTCAGGTGTACAAAACAAGGTCAGTATTTTATAATTTGGCCCATTAAAGAACAATTCTTCTGTATGTTTTTGAAATACATTTTTTTTATATATTATTAATGCATACAGTTTCATATGCACATATGCCGTGTAAGTAATGTTTTTCATTTCAGGGTATACTTCAAGGCTGCAATCAAATGTGTGCGGGCTATCTCTTCCAGCAAGACAAACAATATGATGTATCCTATGACACTGGAGATAAAGCTATACAGTGTGGTCGACATGTAGACATTTTCAAATTTTGGTTGATGTGGAAGGCAAAGGTAAATAATAGAATTTCAGCTCAGAAATTGGAAATGTAATATGATATAATGATTAAAATTGCTAAGTTGACCTCTATATCTGGAACTTAAATTTCTCCAGAAATGAGTTAATTTGGATTTCTGTTTGGTCTTGAGACAGGTTCAGATTTCTTGGATCTGAGTTGTCTGAGGTATTGGATAGAACCTGTTTCTAGCAGATTGCTTGATTATATTACAAAAATATTAAGAAAACAAAATATTAGGAGCTATGGAAATTTTTCCTTCAGCATTAGCCACCATGAGTGATAGTACTCTTGTCCTCCTAGTAGAAATAAACAGCCTAGGTCCAGAAGTGTTCTTGTGACTTTACCTTCTGTCATTTTACTCAGTACAAAGAACTTACCCCAAATATGCAATAATTTGAGTGTACTTTTTTTTTTTAACTTCTCTATTCATGTACAAAGTGTACTTAAAAAAAAAAGACAACTTTTTTTTTCTTATTTATTATCAACATTCATCTACTTTTTCTGGGATTATGATCTTCAAAACAAATCAGATATGACAAAAGATCAGTGGCAGGCAAATGACTTCTAGCAAACATATTGCAGACTTTTTCTTACTGACTTTTTAAAATGCAAATTTCTAGCAAACTGTTCAGAGGAAATAAATTACTTCCCAACTCTTACCCTTTCAACTCGGTTCCCATTCCATGTTCCTAGTCTTTCAGCAAGAGCTGGGAAGCCAAGATTTATTATTCATGTTTTTGTAAACTGGAAAAACAAAAGCTAAAATAATCTATTAAAAATATCAAAAGCCCTTATTATCATAATAAATTCTCTTAAAACAAGACCAAACCCCAATAGTGATTACAGTTAGGCCACATTTAGCCACTTTTGTAGTGTTGATTAACTTTATTTTTAAGTTACAAGAAATACTACTGCTAAATGTTTTCTGACTGAAAACTTTTAAGAGCGAAGCCTATCTGAAAAGATAATTGCATTGGAGGAGGAAAAGTGACCATATAATTAATACTTATTTTCTTTTTAAAACAGGGTACAGTAGGATTTGAAAATCAGATCAACAAATGCCTGGAGCTGGCAGAATATCTCTACACTAAAATCAAAAACAGAGAAGAATTTGAGATGGTTTTTGAAGGGGAAGTAAGTTTTCTTTCATTTAACCTGTGGGTAGGAGCCAAATCTGTATGGAATTTCGAAAGCAGTCTTCACACTTCTGACAGTTCTTCAAGCCAGCTATGCAAAACTGCTCTTGTTTTCTAAAGAACCACATTACTATTGGCATCTGGGCAGTTTTTTGGCCAAACGCATGTGGTTTTGTACCATAAATGTCAGATTTATCTCCTCTCCTCTTCTGCAGAGGACTTAGTTTAGGGCATGAGAAGTATCTTAATACAATCTACTCATGCTGTGATTCCACATTATAACATACATAACTGAGAATCTGCTATTTTTGCTGTATGTTCTGTTGCTAGTGCCACTGCATAAGCTCTTGGTTAATAGAATAACAAATGTACTTCGTCTTTCCATTTACTAAGAAAAGGAAAATTGGGTTGCCCTTTCTGCAATCCTAGAAAACAGTTCCTCATAAGACTTCACGAAGGTGAAAAGTATTGCACTTCATTAGCACCCTAAAACATTGTAAATGGGACAATATATAGGAAACCTAAGACAGCAGATGCAACCAGCAGTACTGTAATCCATTTATTTTGTTTTAACACGCAAACTAGCAAAGTTAATACTATATTTTCTTTCATGTCTGTGTTGAAATATGCTACTGACTAGCCTTTAGTGTGTGATTGATCTGTATTGTTTTGTTTATTCATGTATGTGTTCCGTTCTTTTTGCAGCCAGAGCATACGAATGTATGTTTTTGGTATATTCCACCAAGTCTCAGGGGCATGCCAGACTGTGATGAGAGAAGAGAAAAGTTACACAGGGTATGTGTTTTTTGTTAAATGCAAAAATATAGTCTACTCTTTCAACCCAAAGTATTCTGTTTATTAAAAATAATATATCTGTGTATTGACACGTTTCAAATTCTGGGATGTCAGTTCTCCAGTTGCTTGTTATGGCCTTGATATTGGTTCACTGTTGTCTCCTATTTATACTGAAGCTGAACTCATGTTTGCCCTGTAGAACCAGATACAGAACATACTCAGTTATCTTTGTTTTGTATCATTCTGTGCTCCCAAATGTGTTACGAACCTTTAAAAAGTAGCCAGATGCAAAGATGTCCCAGTCCTGTTTGAATAGGACAGCATATCAGCGAGAGAAACGGAAGGGTAATTATTTGAAAATGCTGGGACAGGTAAAGGACATGGAAACCTGTAAGTCCTTCTCAGGTCTTTAATTTGATTTTAAATGTGCGTGGTTAGTCATGCATTAATGCATTTCAGTGAAAATGAGCACTCTGGGATAAATTTATTGTAAATAAAGAAATGATAGAGGGAAGTGAAAACAACATAGAGGCACTACCAGGAAAAGTATTGTGTTACTTAGGACTTGAGGGAAGTGAAATATAATAATTTTGTAGTCGCATTTTAGACAGACAGAAGTGGAATGAAATCCATTCAGCAGATGAACTATTTTATAGTTGCCAAAATGAATTGCAATTTTTTTTATGTTTGGGAAGGGAGAAGAATGGGCAAACTTGGGAGGTTTTGTAGGGTATTTTATGTCTGCATCACACTGGGGAAAGAGAACAGAAGACAATAGAAATTACTGGGTCAACCCAGTGACATGTTAGATAAAGAAATTGCCAGAAAAGAGAGAAAAGAGGAAGACAGGTAAGACTGGTAAGAAGGACAAAATGTTTGACTTGACGCTGTTAAAATGTTAGAGGACATTATAAAGCATCCTAGAAAACAGTAAAAGAGCCAGACATCTGACCTTGGCTGGCAGAGAGTAGAGCAGGAGAGAGAAGGTCTGAATGAAAAAACTGGGCTCAGTCAGTACCAAATATTAAGATTGTCAGAACATTATTCGTTGTAAATTAAAGTGAGGAAGTGAGATTGCAGTAAATGCACAGTACTGTAAGACTACTGGAAGGTTTCCATGGCTTATGCGAACAGAAAATATTATTTACGATAAAGATCTTGTTGAAAAATTTCCATCCTTGTCACACCCCCCGCCTCCTGAAAATGACTTTGAGAATACATAATATTCTCATGGAAAACATCCATTACCTTCAAAAAGGTGGTTCTGGAGTAGGTTTTCATAAAAAGACGGAAAACATTTCTTCATGATGAAATCTTCAGCACAAGGAAATGACATGTACATTTAATATATAAAATTACTACATAGTGAATACTCTAGAATGCTATTAGTCTGTTAATCAAAAAAGATGGATATTATTGTTGTCAACTTTCCTTTAAATAGCCAATCCTACATATTTAGTTTTTCAAGCTTTCTCTGTTATGGATCTTTTTATAAAAACTAGTGCCTTTCTGATCTGTCCATTTATTTTTTCCAGATTAGGGAATATTATGACATACAAAGAAAGGATAAAATTTTTAAATTACTCTTCTCTCTCTCTCTTTTCTTTTTAAAAAAATTATAAAGGTGGCACCGAAAATCAAAGCACTGATGATGGAGTCAGGTACTACCATGGTTGGATATCAGCCTCAGGGCAATAAAGTCAACTTCTTCCGAATGGTCATCTCAAACCCAGCAGCAACTAAGTCTGACATTGACTTCCTCATTGAGGAAATAGAGAGATTGGGGCAGGAGCTGTAGTACAGTGGTTGAATTATTTATTTCTCTAATTCACTGTTTTCCAGCACTGGCTATTTTTTTAACCCAGTTCTGCAGAACATGTTTTAAGGAAATTCTCTTTCTGTAAGTTCCAATCTCCTAAGACATCCTTAAACAAAACAACTATAGGCTACTGAAACATATATGTATTGGTAGATCATATTACTGAGGGAAAATGTATTATCTTGAAGTTGAAGTACTATTGACTCTTACATTGGTCTTGTTTATTGTA